AAAAAAAAAAAAAAAAAAAAAAAAAAAAAAGAAAAGAACTGATTAGAAAGAAACTATAATTTAAAGATTAGTAATTCAAACTAGAAAAATATGCCTGAGCATACCGGATAAGAACTGCTAAAATAAAGAAAAAAAAAAGAAGTTTGAACTACGATTTTTAATACAGATACCGGAAACCATCAAAAAATTCATCCGCATATACTTAAATATTTCTTCGGGTCACATCGTACACGAAAAATCTTTCATCTGCCAGTGCTTGAAATAGCTCAACCAAAACGACGATAACAATGACATAGAGACTGTACTTATTAATAAGCAACTTAAGGCTAGTTAGTGTTAAAAAAGCAAGCAGATTAAGCATCTTTCACCGACAATGATTTGTATAAAAAAGGTCTATCCTGCGGCAAAAGGCATAAATAAATCGCTAACCAGAAAAAAAAATCAAACTCCCGGGTTGTTGACAATCTTCCAAAGCAAATTTTTTACGCCTTATGCACATTGCAGCTTTATATTTGCACTGCATATTCTTGTCTGGCGAAGAACGAAAGCAAAAGCATTTTGCTTTATGAGCTTTTCGTCATGTGCCTCTCCAAATTAAGCTCTGATGCTGCCTCCTTGTCAAAAAACTGCTTCGCAGTTGCCATTCTTTTTCCATCACAACTTTGAAACGAGTTTACGAAAGTTTCTTTGAAGAGGAGTTGGTGCATCGACGTCGCTAGTCAACGCTGTCAGTGATTGTTAATTGAAGATTTGGCTGTAGAAGGAAAAGCCGGAGAGATAGAATGAGTTTGGTAAAAGCTGAGTTAGATCTCCGCTTAAGCGTGAGGCCTGACGTGAGCCCTAACCTCAAGTTTGGGAAACACTGCTACTAGACCAGTTGATATCTTAAATACTAACCAAACCTTGAAATCATAATATTTTAAAACTATGCTGTCTTTTCCACCTGTGGTACGCAAGAGTTTTCGCAAGGAAACGGGGGACAGTAGCATGTGACAAAAAAAGTGAAGCAGTGCTCAATTTTATGTACTTTTTTAATGTATCACCTCGCAACTCTTGTTTGGACTTAATCTTCCTTTTCTGTAAGTATATATATAACAGGTATTGAAATGGAGTGTTAAAAGCTAAAAGAGAATGCTGGTGCCGAAAAAGTAATGATGACCATATTTGTTGCACAGCGTCGTATTGCTATACATCCTTTAAAAGACAGTTGACAATTTAAATAATTTTACTCTGCAATTCTGCTTCAGTCGTCTCCTTTTTTCAGATTTGTTATTCAAAAAATGTCGCTTGTTCAAACATCTGGATTTAGATTATTGAGACAAAAACTGTTTCTTTTATTAGAGCCTTATTAAAATTTATTTTGACAATTTCTTGAAAGTTCCTTTTTTGGAACGTTATCTTTGATTAGCTTAGACTAAGTTGGGAGAAAATGGGGTTTTAATTTTAAAACTTAGGAAGTGTTTCCTAAATTTTTTTCTCCCGCTAAAGCCAGCGCCGAAACCTCTCTGAAAGCAAATTGATAAGTCTTTTACTTGAGTTTATGAAATTGTTAAAAAGCATTGTATAGAAGACAACTACTTGGCACTAAAACAACCATCTTTGTATATTTTATGTATTAACGGCAGCCTCAAGGATTTTTTGATATCGACAGTTCCTAAAGAAAAATAAATGTTTTTTTTAGATAAGATGGACATATTTATAACTCTTTGATGAAATCAGCCGTGTAGTTCAGCACCTAAAAGTTTAGTCTGAAGTCTATTTGTCGGTACCAAATAACTTAAACTTGGTCCTGTTTACTGTACCCCCAGTAGATGCTCGTTTTGTTCTTATGGTTCCATAAAGCAAACTGACGTGTCTTCAGCGATCGTAAAAAAAGAGTTTGACAGCTATTTTGGTAATTCTATGTGTGCTCAGTTTTTTTTCTTCTTAACCAGTTGTTGAATAAATTTGTAAAGTGATGGATTCAGTGGTTGTGGATAACAGCCTGCTGACTGAATGCTGCTGAGGATGACGTTGTTTGCAGAACATTGTACTGCTTTAGGGTTTTTTTTCCTTATTGTTTTCAACGTATCTGTTTATATCGTTTTAAGGGAATTTATTTGTGTTCCTACTGCTCTAAAAGACTGGCTTTGTTATAACGGTAAGTTTAATTCGCTAATTTACGTTCCTAGTAAAGCCTAAAC